TATATAGGGAGTTTATGATTGGACATCACAATGTCCCATCATAAACTCCCTCTTATATAATAAGAGAATACTTAAAAATAGTAATAAGAAAAAAATATGAAGAAACATATAGCTCGTAATGATATATTAGTATTTTTTTAATTTCTATTCAATAAACATCGGTCCCATGTTTCTGTCTGCAATTTGTCAATTTGTATGAATTACAAACATTAAAAAATGTACGTCGGCGAGTAGATTAATTAACTCAAATTATTAGCCCATGTTTTGTCTAATACTTTGGGTTCCAGTGGGCAAGGGCCGATCTAGAATTTTTATTTAAGAGGTTCAGAAAAAAGTAATCATGCTAATAGTGTTGATAAATTAATAGGTCGGTTTAGATATAAACAGGTCGAATCATAAGCGAATTTAAATTCAATAATTTTTTATTTAAATTAAATATTTTTATTAAATATACAAAGCACATTTTTTTGGAAAAAATAACAGGAATTACTTGAGTGCACTATTTGTAACCAAAGTTCAGTGACGTACACACTATATGAATATGATCACTTACTATTTTTCGACATTTGTTTGGCGTATAAAATGAATGTATCCCTTTACTATTTTTGGACATTTGTTTGGCGTATAAAATGAAAGAGTTTTTGGCTAAAATAATTCCTGAAGTATGACATAAATTTAAAGTACATCCTTGTGTTATATAAGTGAACAAAAAACATCCTTGAACTATACAAAAAGTTGCAAGATTCATCCTTCTGTCTATTTTTTTAAGGAACTCACGCCACCAACAAAAAATGTGTCAAGTCGAATGAATATATGTACACATGGTTAAGCTAATCAAGTTAGGCGATTTTTTTAATTTTTAGAAATTGAGGGTTTAAATCATATTTAGACAAAATATATTCAAATTCTAAATATTCTTTGTAAAAACATGGCAAAATACTACTCCAACTTCAAAATTTTCAAATAAAGTAATTTTTTTTTAATTTTCATAACTAAACACCTACGTAATTTCACTAAATTTCCAGCATTTTTTGTACATTGTATAAAATGTGAACTGTATTGTATATATAGTATATATACGCCCTAAATATTTTATTAAAGAAAATCTCTTATAAATAGTTAGACGTAATATTTTTGAAATGATTTTTTCTACATAATCTTTCTAACAATCGGAACGTACTGTATAAATATTTCAAAACTTATGTATTGTTGCAAGTCAATTTACTTGATGATGCAGGAAAAACATATAAACTAACAACACACAAAATTTAAATTCTGAGAATGAAAGATTCATTTCCTATCCATATCCTTATCCTTTTTAGGTAACTTTGATCTTCTCGTCGTGGTCATGACGTGACCAAATTAAAAATTAATTTGTTTATTGGTTCAATCAGTTTCTTAACAAAAATAGACTGAAGGATGATTCTTGTTATTTTTTGGATAGTATAAGGATGTTTTTTGCTCACTTAGATAATATGAGAATGTACATTAGATTTGAGTCATAGTTGAGGGGTGATTTTGACCAAAAACTCTATAAAATGAATGTATCGCTTTCCGATTTATAGTGATGGAGTTAATATTTTTTCTAATATGAAAGAAATAAACAAAGAAAAAAGTCGAAGGGGTTCAATATCTATTATATAAATATATTTTTTTAACCATATATAAATAATATAATTTTTCCTCGAGGGTTTATTTATATTGAGGGGTTTTCAAAAACTAATATCTCTTATCTTCCCAACCGACGATTTAGGTCCAAGCCAGAAAACAAAACAAAATAACAGCCCAATATGAAACAGCCCCAAACAGGAGCGGAGCCAACATATTGTTAGGGGTTCATCCGAACTTTCTTCGGCGGAAAATATCACTATTTATACATAGTTAATTTTTTTTTTATAGTAGATGTCGAATCTCCTTCGACTAGTTCTTATTTTTATTTCTTTAAATATTAAAAATCTTATTAAAAATCATGACTCCGTCACGAACCCCAAACATTATGTGATGGGTATCTCGTGGACTTGCTCTAGTCGTTTTCCTTCTGGAAGAACTGAAAAAGTGATGTAGATAATAGTGCCAAAGTGTATGAGTCATGAGTTGGAATATAATACAGTAGTGTAGTTAGTTACCACTCTTTCAACTTACTCTATTATATATTAAGAGTACATATATATAATAAATATTAGTACTATTATATTGAAACGATTTCAATTTAAAAAAATTGTTACAAACGACTAAGATTAAATAGACGGCGTGGGGTGACAAACGTACAGCCACAGACATATTTTTATTTTATCTCTATCTAATGAACTTCACGTTTTGCTACGAGATCAAAGAATTTAATAATTTTTACTTAAATTTTTTATTTGTATAAAAAATTATTTAAATATATAGTAATATTTATATCACCTTCACCTTATAGAATAATATATATTTGTAACGGGCCGCTACTTGATATTATCAGCGTGCTAATCCAAACGAATATGTCGATCTTATAAAAATTGTAAGGTACATGTTCTCTTTATTTACAGTAAAAATAGTTTTTTATTCGTTTGTTTCATTGAAAAGAAGTTTAACTCAAACTTGTTTCTCTTAACATAAAAAATAACGCACAGTAAAAATAGTTTTTTTTAGATGTTTGTTTCATTGAAAAGAAAAAAATTACTCACAGTAAAATAGTTTTTTACTCGATGTTTTTATTTCAATGAAAAGAAGTTTAACTCAAACTAATTTTTTCTAAACATAAAATTAACTCTTTCACTATTTTTCATAAAAAGGTTACTTTGATAATTTTTCGGTTAAAATTGACAAGGACATTTCTATTCTAATTAAAAACGTTTTTTAAAACTTAAGAAAACTCCAACCTACTTGATAAACTTCATATGACCGACCCAATCCAACCCCCAACTTCTAACTTCATTTAAACTTATTTAGAATCTCCTATATGATCATGTAATCAACTAGTGGTATTTATTTTCACAAAGTCATATAACTATTTATTCTGATAAAAAGATGAGATACAAACTAAAAAGTCACAAATATGTAATATTCATATAACTCGATAATTTAAAACTATCGAAAAATGTAATGAAAGAATATTATCCTTCATGAAAGATCTCGAGTTATAGCAGAAGTAACTTTGGTGGAGTAAAACGGAGTATCTCATATATTGACCTGGTCTTTTTATTTCCTTCTAGAAGAACTAAAAATAGCTTGAAGGAGTGTCTTATCTCTAAAATAGAATACTCACTTTATAGTCACAAACATCAATTATCTTTCTAGAAACTTACTTTCTCGTTTTGCGAGTATTTCAACTTTAACAATTTGGAATATCTTCCTACCCTTTTAACTTCCAGCTAAAAAGTATGCTAAAATGCCCATAAGGGTCCCTCCATTAATTCAAGATTTCTTATTTCTCTTTCTCTTCTTCTTCACATATAAAAATCCACTACCTTATCCTTCTTTTCTCTGCGCCTTTCATGGAGATTATTCCCACTCTTCCTTACGATATCGGACTCGAATGTCTTATTCGAGTTCCTTATTATAATTTCTCATCGGTTACTTCCGTCAGTAGAAACTGGAAGCTTCAGATTGAGCTTCCCGAGTTTTGGAGGCGAAGAAGAGCTACTGGTTCCACCCGTCAGGTAATTTTAATGGCGCAAGCCCGAATTGACCCGAGATTGAAACTCGGGTCATTCAAGTACTCTGCTTTTTCGGTTTACAAGCTTACGCTTTACGAACCGGAATCGGGTTATTGGGCGGAACTACCACCGGTTCCTGGTATTTCCGATGGATTGCCGATGTTTTGTCAGCTCGTCGGAGTTGGATTGAATCTGGTGGTGATGGGCGGGTGGAACCCTCTTACTTGGGAACCTTCAAACGCTGTTTTTGTTTTTAGCTTTGTGTCCGCCACGTGGCGACGTGGAGCCGACATGCCTGGTTGCCGGAGATCGTTTTTCGGTTGTGCGTCGGATTCTGAACGGACGGTGTACGTCGCCGGAGGTCACGACGAGGAGAAAAACGCACTTAAATCGGCGATGGCGTATGACGTGGCAAGGGATATGTGGGTCCCAATGCCTGACATGGCAAGTGAAAGAGATGAATGTAAATGCACTTTTTTTCAAGATAAATTCCACGTCATCGGCGGATATGACACGAGCATGCAAGGCCAGTTCGGTACAAGCGCTGAGTCATTCGATCCTTCCACGTGGCAGTGGGACCAAGTCAACGAACATTTCTTTGAATCTGCCACGTGTCCAAGAACCTGCGTTGAGGGTGGGGACGGAAAATTGTACTTGTGCCGGGACGGTGATGTGCTGGCACTCGGAAAGTCTACGTGGCAAGCTGTGGCGGCGATTCCGGTGGAGCTCCGGAGCGTAGCTTTTGTGACAGCATGGAGGGGTAAAATTCTGATGACTGGTTCTATGGGATTTAATGAACCCCACAATACTTATGTTCTTGATTTACAGAGTTATAAATGGACCAAAATGGATACTCCGGCGAACTTTTCCGGCCACGTTCAATCCGGCTGCTGCCTGGAGATGTAAAAGAGTTTCTTTTGAGTGTCATAAGTTTGTGTTGATTGTACAGTTATAATTATCAGAATAGTTTTGTTGCGTTGATAAAACATACATGCGTATAAATAAAAAAACATCAACTAAAATTTCGACAAATATAAAATTCGAAACTCATTAAAATTAAACTAAAAACAATAAAAATAGACTATTCTACCTCCAATTCTAAATTGTGATTTTTGCGTAAGAAAGCTTAATCAAAGATCTTGTATTTGAACCCTATATATATATATAGAGAGAGAGAGAGAGAAAAATCCCTGCTAAGAGCGCGGATTCAAGCTCAATGCGGGTGCCATGCACCAGATGAGAAAAATCCCTGCTAAGAGCACGGATCCAAGCTCAATGTGGGTACCATGCACCAGATGAGAAAAATCCCTGCTAAGAGTGCGGATCCAAGCTCAATGCGGGTACCATGCACCAGATGAGAAATAAGAAAAACAGGTAGCACGACAGGTAGACAGTAAAAAAGAAGTTAGTGAAACACAACTAGATTTCGTACTGTACACAAGGCTGATTGTTTTCTAAGGGAAGAAGAGGAACAGCAATACAGGAAAATGAATGAAAAATGGTCTGCATTTGATCTTATTTTATTCTCATGCAGTCGTATAGTACTTCTCCGAATCTCTTGTACATGTGCTTCTTTAGGTACATATCCTTTACTTTCTTTCTTCCATTGCTTCCCAATCGCTGCCTTTCCGAGGGATTGTTCAGCAAATACTGGAGATTGTTGGCGAGGATTTGAGTGCCTGGACGTCCCAAAGTATGAAGAAGACCTGTTACGTTATGTTCAACGATCTCCTTTGTGCCTCCGGCATCTGTTCCCAGCACCTGTAACAAAATTATATGTTAAATCCACTTTATTTGGCCATATTACTTATCAACAAGAAACTTTGCATTGTGTTCAAAGCCAGTGCATATTATCGCAAAATTTAACTAATATGTGGCAGATTACTGCTCCATGGACCATGATCATACACTCTGTAGCTCGATATAGCTTCTTGCCAGTGTATTTAAAAGAAACAACTACTTTCTGTCTCAAAAATGACTGATTTGATGGCATGCAAAAAGTACATGCACATTATACTATTGGCAGGACAGAATTGAGAATCTTACAGGAAGACCAAATGCCATTGCTTCAATTGTCACTCTCCCAAATGTTTCTCCAAGTCCCTGCAAAAAGTAAACAGCCATTACTCGAGATAAATAAGTACTAACTACCAAAATGAAACTAAGCAATCATTTAAGTATCAAATGAAATTACACAATGGCATTGGGTATAGCTCATGGTGGGTATGTTCTTTTTTTAAAAGAACATTACTCAGGAAAGTGCCAATACTCAGGAAAGAACCATGGGGACCAATATCAGCAGAGTAAACCATGTGACAAGGAAACCAATAGTAGTCCGAGACGTATAAAAGAACCCATATGATCATTGTAACCATTCCAGGAAACTAACCATTATGTTTCAATGAGATGTACTTTATATGACTCTTTTTTCATACAATATCCGTCACTGTGCACAGTATGGTCTCATTCAACAGCAAAATACTTTAGAATCCTTACTTCTACCACCAGACTAATATATGCCCCATGCTCCCTAAAAAACTGAGCTAACTAATAGGATTAAGCATTAAGTAGTTGCTGAGGGACTGCTTTCCCTTTCTTCCCAACCAAAAGACCAAAGTCAAACCAACTTTCATGCTCAAGGTTCAACCTTTTCCTCGCACTTCTAGTTGACGCTAATGAAGAACCAATTCATTCTATCTCCTACCCTCTAGAGAACCACTGAAAACCAGAATAGCATAAATTCTCTTTAGTCATGATTTTAATATAGTTCCTCATATAAATCCAACTCGAATTAATTAATAAATGGATACAAGCAAGCCAACTAACAAAGGTTCTCAATTTCATTGGGTGACCCATAATTTGTACTTGCTAGTTGCTAAAATGTATTGACTTGGTACTTATTACTGAAAATAATTTCACATTGCTGGGTAATATTTACATTTATTGAGAAATCTTACAAGAGGTAACACAACCTTACGATGCTTTCACGTTTCAATCTGAAATATTCACCAATCGTGAAAATAGTTTAGATTTGCACTTATCACAGGAAACATCTAGTCTCTCATATCTATCTATTTTACTTGACCTACATTTTGTTTTACTCTGTTCTGATTTACTTAAACTCCCCCATAGACTCTTATATAATAGTATTAATATCTCCCAGAAACATTGCCACTGTACATTTGCTGAACTGAACAATAATTGATTTAGATACAGTTGTAAAGGCTAACCTGAGAATTCATTACATAAGCATCTGCAGCAGCATAAAGTGCAGCGACACGAGTGGTTGATGGAGTCCATAGTACTGTGTTTGACAAGTTAGAATGCTGATTTAGAAAGTTGAGAAGTGCTTTAACATAAGGCACCTTATTGCTCTTGGATCCGACTGAGCCAATAAGAACCTTAAGCTTTTCTCCCTGCTTCCCTTCAGTTAGGGAGAAAAGCTTTCGAGTTCCTCTATCATTTTCAATTCCAGCTGTATAGTTAACCCCCTTAATGAAAAGCTGGGGTACCTGCAATGTTTCAGTTTGTGGGTTATTTGACAAGGTGGAGGATTCTTTTTTCCATTCACCAAATTGTTTCCAGTTATAAAGCAATGTCCTTTTCTGATATTCTCGTCTTTTAACAGCAGATCCATTTAGAGGAGGAGCTCCCTCAATCAGTAAGCGCGTTGTTTCAAGAAGCAGAAACTGACCCTTTCCAGGGTTTATACTACTCAAGGACATGACAAGCATATCATTGTCTGTCAATCCCATTTCTTTCCTCACAAAATCTCTTAGTAGCTGCCTCTTTTCCAGCATCTTCTCAGGACTGAATAGCGGAGTGCTCAGTGAGCACGGGATGCCTGCTACAAAAGCCAGTTCATCACTAATAGAAAGTGGAACCAGTGCAGGCTGAGTTTTGAGCTTTATATGTTCTTCCTCACACCAAGCTAACCACCGCTTAGACTGTGATTCAGAAAGAAAGATAAGTTTCTTCACTCGGTTGAAAGCAAGTTTAGCCCGATCGAAGTATTCCCGCCGGTTTTCCATGATCCACCAAGTAATTTGACTTGAACCTAGCACAGTACGTGCTGCATATTGTTCTGAAAGAGAGATATTAATCGTTAGAAGTTAGCCAAGGCACACAAGGAGAAGAAAAGAACAGAAGCAAATTCATAGAATTTATGAAGGTTAAAATCAAGAAAATCAAAGACTAATCCTAGCACAGCCAAAAGGAAGATTTTTTCATGAAGCAAAAGAACTGATTAATATTACATCATTCTAGGAAAATTCAAATCTCACTCAAGATTTGCAATAAAGGTCTACACAAAAGGTTGCACTGAGAACTGGCAAAAATCAGCTCCTTTATTGAAATAATGAGAATCCACAATTTTAGATTATAGCTAAGAGCATAACACATGTTTGGTTCAGTGTGATATAAACGGAATTATAGGAGATCTATCAGTTGAACATGATATGTTGCAGCTATGCTATCAGTTGAGAATGAAGATCACATTACAAGCACAACTTGCCACATTAAAACTCTATAGAAGATAGATGCAGTGATCATAGATAGCAAATGTGGAAATGCTCACCTATCCATGATGCACATACTGCAGAACCTGCAATAATAAGATCTGCTTTCATGGCTGTTTTGAAACTGAGGTCTGATTTGTCTTCTAGCACTTTGATCTTTCTTCTAGATAGTTCTGACATTAAACCCCCTCTTTTGCTGAGAGGTACTACATAAACTGTGGCCCCACAGCTTAAAAGCTCCGTAGCCAATTCCAACATGGCAAGTGGAGCTCCAGTCATAGAGAGTTCATGGAGTATCAGCACAAATTTCCTAGACCAAACAAGACGTGCAAACTGACTTTTTCTATCACAGGTTCCTGACCGCTTTTCAGGGCTCCACTCCAAAATTTTGTCCTCTATTGACCCAAATGGACCAACTAGCAGGCCATACGTAGTATTTCGCTTGGGTATTTCCTCTTCTTGAACTTCAATATCATCAGTTTTTACTTCTGCCACCACCTTCTTCTTACCATGAGTCTTCCTACGAGAAGCACGTGTAGACTTCTTGCTCTTCTTCTTAGAAGATGAAACCTTGTCAGATACCACACTGTTTCCCTGTTTAGCCAAGACTACATCCAGGTCCATTGAATTGCCCTGTGTTTTATTACTTGGAGGCTTGACTGCTAAAGACTCCTCATTCGCAACTAGAATTCGTTGATTTTTTTCCTCTGGTTGAGAAGTTCCATTGGCAACATCACCTCCAGTTCCTCCAAAAATACCTTCCTTATTGTCTCCATGAGCCCATCTTGACTGAACATAAAATCCTCCATAGGCCCAAAGAGTAATCAGAAGCAGCCAAAGTAAAATGCGGTTACTTCTAAACCACTGAGAACCAAAAGCACTACTTTTACCATCTCTTCGCGGTGTTCGTCCAGAATTCAATCTCCTGAAGGAAGGAGATCCTCCTCTAGGAGTTGATCTTCCTGACAATGTTGACTTCGCAGGGACGGGACCATTCAACCTCAAGGGTGATAGTCTTACTACATTTAATTCCTCCATTAGTTGGACATGTATGCTACAAATGTTTATTCAAAATCGCTAGCTACTGAGCCAATTTAATGAAACAACACCGTTGACTAGTTAGCTTCTTCAATATCATACCTAAACAAGGAACAAATCTCAGATTCTTTTTTTTATTAGTTTTTAAGAATACATTAAACACTATCTTGGATTTAGTACAGCGAAAAATACTTCTTTTCCAACTTTCTTGAACCCAAAACCCTTCTTCAGCTCCAAGAACAAACATACAAGATTACAAAATTAAAGCTTAATACTTACAAGATTAAAGAAACTGATGAAGACAGAGCAAATGATCTTCCAAGATCTCAACTTGAATTGACAGAGATATTGATGGGGTTTTGGATCTTCTTGATAAAACAAGAATTGGTCCAAATGATTACTCACTCTTATTAAAGTCGATTTCTTTCTTACAGAAAGTAAGCATTCAAGAACATGGAAAAATGGAGAAAGTGGCAAATTGGTAGTAGAAGAAGAGCAACTTCAGTTAAAAATGATGAAAACAGTGAAGCTTATACCCCACAGTAAAGACCCCAGAAAGAAAGAGAGATCAATGTCTGAAGAAAACTGAATTGAAAGATTTTCTAGTTTTTTTTTTTCCTTCTCGGTTTTTTTTTTTTATTGAATCAGTTTTTATTTCTTAGTGTCACCGACGCTTTATCTTTCAAATGCGCAGTTAAGGGATGTAAAAAAGAACTCATCGCCTCTTTTTTTTAGACATAAGTTGAGAAATAACGCTTCTTAGCCTATGTATAGTGCCGTCATGTGGGTGGCTTTGAAATTTGGAAGATAAAATTTCATGAAATTTAGCGTTGTTATATCATATATGTTGTTTGATTCCCTTTTTTTAAAAAAATTATTATAAATATACTTGTATAAGTCATAACTTATAGGTAAGTCTGTATATTATGAATAATAGAATATGAATTTAATCAGAGATTTATTGAACACTAGACAAGATTTACGAATACATTATTTTTCTCAAATTCCAGCTATGATATTACTCTTGGGTTATAGAATGTGAAATAAAAGTATATTATTGGCTATATGATTTAAAAACAACTTTGATTGCAAGATAAAATTCTAGCATTATTAGATCTTACATTATATTTCAATTTTCATGTATTAGAATACTTATCCTAGCTTAATTTGTCGCTTAACGAAATGCTCATCATGATTAATTGTTCTTTTTTTTCCCTTTTTCATTCCAAATGTTTGTAAAACGGCCAAATTTTGATAGAGGCATCACCTCTCTGAGAAATTTATACTCCCTCCGTCCAACAATACTTATCCACAATTGACTTTGCACACTTCTTAACAAACTATAAATAAAAAGACAATTTCACTACATCACCCTTTAAATATAATAAATACAATATTTTGAAAAATGTAATAGAGAAATGACTATAATTAAAAATAAAAATAAATTAGAAACTAAGTGTAAAATTATCCATTGATTTCATAAAGTGAACAAATATTGTCGAACATTCCAAAATAGTATAATGGACAACTATTATTAGACGGAGAGAGCAAATAAGAATTATGCATCTACCTAACTCATTGACTTATTGAATTTTCAAATGAGTCTTCGAGCTTGGCATTATTTAAATGCTCGAGCTTTGTGAATTGTGAAAATTTAAGGTGGATGTGCTGTATGCACAGCCAAGAGAGAATCTATTCCACTTTCAAAAACCTCATCAATATCATTCATAGCAGGAAAATATAGTAATAAACAAGTAGAAGAAGATGCATATTAAGTAATGGTCACTCATGCCCAACTACTCTTTTTTCCAATAGATGAGTGCCGTTACGGCATTTACCTATTAGTCTCAGTTTTCCACAACACTACACATATTTAAAGAGCTTGCTATTGACAGTTGCTCTGTGGTTTCTAAGGTCTCCTTTCACATGTCCAACCACAATTATTATACAACACGACGAACGAAACGATCAGGTCTCATATGTCATGACAAGCAAATATAAAACATAAAACTGAAAGTCGTGCAACACATAATGCTTGATTGGTGCCAGTGAAATGGCGTCATCTGTAACAAAAAAGAGAGATGAAAAATCTGGACAAACCAAAGTCTCTTTGAAACAAAATTTATTATTCGATGTCTGAGCAAGACATGCTCTCTTGTTAACATAATATTTAACTACAAAGCCCAGAAAATATCCACCAAATAGTAGCAACTTAAGGACACTTAACAGAGAACTTTAAAAGGCACTAGAGCCATCTATTTAGAAGAGAAAAAACTTCACATAATAAAAAAACAGATGCAACTGCTTCTGGACTATTACCATTATTTTCCATCATTTGAAGAAACTCTTATCAACATTTTTTACTTCCTTCAGTCACAAAAACCCCAAGCCACAAGAACCTGAGATATAAAAAACAAAGTAAGAAACTTATTACTGAATTTAGAAGAAACATACACTAAGCATGATGACAAGAGTACTGTAATGGTACCATATATTGAAACAAATAATTGCCACCCGTCAAGCTGCAGTGTATCCCCGAAAGTGAAGCAGCATGAGCAGGCGTTTGTCATGTAAACCTGGGGATAAGAAGTACAGAAGGACGAGAGAATACAATGAACATAAGTCCACGAAAAATGAAAAGGAAAAGATGTATGAATAAGTAGTACAATAGATGTCCCAAATACAAAGACACTTTAGAGCTAGAGATCAAAGAACCATTAGACAAATTCCTTCCAAGTTCAAAATTGCCACTTGATAAACCAGTAATAGTGCTTTTTTCTTTTCTGTTCCCTTCATATTTTAGGAAGGTGGGGGGGGGGGGGGGAGAATCCCCACAATATCAACAATTGTCCACCCATTAATGTATTGTTTCAATACATGAACAAGTAATTTCACTTGCCACTCAAGCAAATCTGCAGCAATGATGATGGGAAAGATGTTACTTGCCCCCAAAAATACATACCGAAGTGAGATGGGAGAACTTTTAACTCAAGCTTTGGTGGCTCTTCAATGGATGGTTTGGAGGGGGGGGGGACTTTCCCAATTTATAAGATCAATGTCGAGTTTCAATGGATTCTTGGAGTAAGAACCTAACCCCGATAAAGCAACTACAAATTCATCATAATCTTGGACTCCCTCCTCATCATAATTTGAAAGAATGGCAGTGAGAGGGTCCCCTATGCAAAATACTTCATTTACACTGGCTACTGCCTCATCAATTGTAACACCCCAAAAATTCTATGACTTAAGTTAGAGCCTCACCTTATGAATAATGACTTAAAAATAGTTAAAATGATGTTTATAAACCTAAACTAATGTAATTGACTTAGTTTGGAAGAGTAAAAGTCTAAACGTCAAGAAACGACCACGACACAGTAACGAAATATGCACAAGGATTACGTTTGGTGGAAATTCTAAAATGCTGAATCATTTCACAATGCTGAATCATTTCACAAGAAACAAAAGACGAGAAAATATGATATTAAAAGTCCTGAGCAAAATCATCATTACCTAAAATACATCACAACACATGAGAACCCTAGATACTCCAGAGCAACACTTGGAGAACGTAGGGTCTAGGAGAAGGCCTGCAGTACCACAAGTTTTAATAAGAAATTTGTGACACTCAAACCACTGATGGAAAATTTTAACAGTAAATTGATGAAAAAAAGAAGTTCCAACAAAGTTGACCTTAATCTGCTTATTCAAACAGCTTCGACCTACAAACTAGCTCACTGATCGAACTTCATCTCCGTATATCTGCAAGGAACAATAAATGAATTCAACACTTGCAAAGGTTACTAAACCAACAAATACATGAACTTAAGCAAAATGGGAAGGTTGGAAATAGCACATCTCATTTCAGAATAAGCTTACCTGCGAGGATTCTTCTGACGCTGGCCTGAGTCATCATTTGAGAGTTCTGAAAGATGGAATGGGGCATAAAAAATGAGTGATATAGAACCACAGTTTTGCAGCAGCAGAGCAAATTATGCAAAATTAGAACATGCATATCTCACCTAGCGGCTGTTGGGGATTGCTTTCATTATTTGGCTTACTGGCATTGTTCTCTTTGCTGCACAGAGAATTGATTGTTAAGTTTCTTTTTGATTAATTATAAGAATTAAAAAAAATGCCTGCTAAATATAGCAATATTTACAGAATCAAGAAATCATTTTCTCACTATATGTAATAACAATTATTATGTTTAGAAGTGAGAAAAATGGCAAAATCACAACCAGTAACTGTCAAGCACATAAAGACACTGCACAAGCAGAACTCTCTCCAAGACAGTGCTCCTCAGACTAAAATTTCAATAAATATCCATCAACAGCCGAAACAACAAAATGGATCTGTCAACTTTTGGCACAATTGTACAGGCTGTATTTGTTTTCTTGAGCAAACTGGTCAAGCTTTTTCATAAGAGAAAAATATGGGTCACACTTTTCTAGACACTCATGAGTTCACACATCATGAGTAAGTGCTCACAGAATAAAAGATAGTGACATCTCTACTAAGAAAAATGCAGAAGTAAATGGAAACTAATGAAAGAAGTGTGTAGAACAAGTATGACACCAACATGCCAGCACAAAGATAAATACTAATGAAACTGGAATATACTGAAATGGAGGTGAGACCTTGGAGCAGCAGTGAGAGAAGATATTTGCCCAGATGGACGAGCATGATAGGCACCATCCATAGCAATATATGGCGAACAGTATGTTGCACCTAATGCTCCAGCAGCTCCAGCTAAAACTGGCAACCTGGCAATTGAAAAGCAAAATCATTTTAAAATAATATACACAAACCAGTATATCAATATTTATGATTTTGTTAGCTGATTTTTGTGAACTGATCCAACATATATATAACAGTTCAGAAAGAACGTATGGCTCCACTCCATAGACATCCACAGCTCGGTATATGGTCAGGAATGCCTAAGCAATAAGATCGCCATACAGTACATGAAAATTACACTATTTTTTATGAGGTAGCCACATTGCCATAAGAACCTTACCATGTCATCTCAGAATTCCCCAAACCAAGTTGTGGCTGACCAACATATCCAGGAAAAGCCATGCCAACAGCAGGAATGCCACCG